GGCCACCCGCCCCGTCTCGCTCCCACGGCCTCCACCCCGCCCGCACGCGCCGCGCAGCACCCCGGAGCACCTCTCGCCGGCGCCCCCCTTCGGAGAAGCCTTACGTCTTCAGCTTCGGCGGCAGACACCCTCAGCTCTGGCTCTCCGAGCTCCCCACGAGCCCTCCAGTAGGGCGTCGCCCTCCCCCTGCCTTTGCCCCCCATGGTCGTCCTCCCCCCGTCTGGCTGCATGGCTGCACCTGGTCGCCGCTCCGGGCAATCAGTCTGCCTGATTAGCGCCGGCGAGTTGGGGCCGCCGACATCGCGTTAGAACAAGGTTTGCTACCTTTCGCTGATTGGCGGACAGAGTTCGGCGACCGGGTCGCCGTGGGCAGCCGGTGGCGGTGTCGAGCGGCCGCCGACCGACCAAGACCGAACAGCCTCCGGTCCTCGATGGCAGATAACCCTAAGGGATGGTGGGACGACCGGAAGCTGCAGCCTAGCATGGCTGGTCTGCGGGGTCGGGGTCGGGGTCACCGGACTGGGGATCCCTGAGTACCCGTCTCCCCTGCGGCCACCGCCTGAAGCACGCCGGGTGCGGGTCACGGGTCACCGGACTGGGGATCCCGAAGCCCGTCTCCCCTGCGGCCACCGCCTGAAGCACGCCGGGTGCGGGTCACGGGTCACCGGACTGGGGATCCCGAAGCCCGTCTCCCCTGCGGCCACCGCCTGAAGCACGCCGGGTGCGGGTCACGGGTCACCGGACTGGGGATCCTGAGACCCGCCGCCCCTGGTGTCGCCGCCCGATGCCGCGCTTCGTTCGCCTGTAATGGAGCGGCGCAATACGCCGTCATTCAGCTGTCGGTGGCGGACGGCGGCGGCGGCACCTGGCTGGCCACTCCACAGGCCGCCGCCGCCTGACTGCCAATGGGCCGGTCGGCCTGCCACTTGGCCCAAGGGCGGACGCGCCGCGGCACTCGACGAGCAGCTCTGGACCCTCACTACTCGGGCTCTTTTAATCCGACACTCAGCGCGTGGCCCTGGGAAAGGACGTATGGTAACAAGCTTTTACAATGGACAAATCACGTGACCACGAGGTGTTGGGGGAGGTGAAGGGGTTTATCCGACCTGAATAGATTTTTGTTCTAATAAATACCATTGATTGTTATTCAGGGGAACAGTTTTGGCGTCTGGGCTCATACCATTCGGGAAACAGACAGACAACTCAGTTTCCCTAAGTTTTTTGTGCACATTAGCATCATTTCGTAGACGCCTCCGTGGTCTCGGAGAAAGATGCTGGACTCGTAATCCAGCGGAACCGGGTACGAGTCCCAGAGTGGGCGCATTGCTTGACCCGACTGAAATGGAAAGGGCAGCTGACAACTGGCCAACGAGGTTCAACCCAGACCCGAGGCGGCCGTGTCGCAGCATTGTGCGGCACGTAAAACCCTCCGCATTCCTGTCTGGCGAAAGGGCGGAGGCGGAATTAGCTGTTGAACTGGATGGCACGCTTGGGTGGTGGGTTCGGGGTCCACGCAACAAGCTATGCTTAGCAGGCACTCTGAATCCGAAGTCACCCACACAAACCATTCGGGATAGATTTATAAAGAATAAATTCATTAAAAAATCCACCGCAGCTGGCTAAGCTCCACGACCGGGGAGGCATTTGCCTCCGCAGCTCACGCGTTGACAGGGACCAGCCGTGAGGCCTTGCGGTGGGGCGCGGATGATGCCACAACACCTCGGGACGTCACCTAAGAGATCACACAGCAGCGCACGCGCGCCGCCGGGTGGCCACTGCCGAAGCCGACATTTATGGTATCGAGTCGGCGGCTCGTATCGCTCAAGGTCATCGAGCGCCCACAGCACCCACGTGCAGTCCTGACACAAACGCCTGCCTCTGGGGGAGGCCTGGCATACGCTGACCGACCTCCGGCCATCCAATTCCCGGGCCTTGTCCCAGTGCTAGTGGTATTGCCTACTGATATCCTTGGTGTTGTATTTCCATTGTTTCGGTCTGTCCGGTGACGTTTGGTTTTCAATCCCAGTCAGTTTATGCTCCATGTTTTTCCCGCGTGGTGACCGAACCGTGTCCCGATCACCTAGTCTCCGATGTCTAGACCTAGTAGCCTAGTCTCCGATAACTTAGTCTAGACCCGATGACTGTATCACTGGATCGTACCGGTCGCTCAGCTGCGTAGGGTGACGTGATTTCCGTTTATTAGTCGTTCTCGTCAGCGTCATGCATTGCCGTGGCTTTTGTGCGTCAACCGTTCTGCTCGTTGCCCGGCAAACTTGGTCATTATCTCCCCGACCCTGGTATCGGCGCTCCTGATACGTGCAGGATTGCCAGGGGCGACAAGGTAAGTGACCAGCGACGCTCATTGGCTGACCTGGCGGGTCATTGAGTGAAGCAGTTCGGTGTTTCGTGATCCCTGCGTTCGTAAGTTGTTTGACCATCAGCCGGCCGACATGGCTGCGTACTGCCTTGTCATCGATGTGCAAAAGCAAAGATGGCTTGTTTATGATCAAAGCATCGTAAGCACCGGAACCGGCATTGCATTAGGATGCGGCCGCGTGCGCTGCACACCGGCCGTGCTGTGTGCAGGCGGCGCCGGTCGGCCGGAGCTGGTGCGCGAGTGTGTGGGGCTGTTGCCGTGCCTGGGTCGGCTCGCCGGGGACGGGGGGTTGCCGGTCGCCAGGTCGCCGGTCCGGTCCGGTGCCGTGCCGCTGCTGCGTCAGCCCCGCCCTGCCGTGCCGCTCAGTACGACACGCTCGCCAATACACGTTATCACCCGACGGCCGCGTCTTTGTTGTCGGCGTGGGTCGGGTTCGCGTGCCCCTGCCCTGCACCGGACTCCTGCACCCCTTCACCGGACGCGTCACGTCGTCCGGAGGCGGCGCCGGGCACGGAATGGGAAGCGTCGGGCGGGAGCTGTGGGCTGGGTGGGGAAGAGGAGAACGCGAGCGGTCCTGTTCGCCGACAGCTGCGGCGTGCTTTCGTAACATACAGGGACCTAGGTCACTCGCCTGGGAGCGTTATAGGAGGGAGTAGGCTATATTACATCTTCAACCCTAGCAGACGACGGTGTTTACAGCCACCTGCCGGCCTCACGCCAGGTCTGCCAGAGCATTTGGAGCTGGTGGTGCGGGGGGGGGGGGGGTAATCTATGTTCGCTGGCGGAAAAGCCTGACCTCACTACTGGTGGTTACGTCTGCCACGCACGGAGTGGCGGTCAGCCAGCCAGAGAGGCCGCGTCGCGCTGGGCGGCCGTCAGCACACTGCACCAGCTCAGGCTGGTGGCGTCGCCTGCCCTGGACCCGCACCCCTGCCTCCCAGCTGCGATTGACGGCCGTTAGCGCTCAGGATTCGGGGAAAGGCAGGCGCACAGTGTGCGCTAGGTAGCGGGCGGCTGAGCTATCTGAAGTGTGTGCGATTTCGTTTAAAAAAATCAGGCCAGTTAAGGTGGATACGGGGTCATGATATCCACGGTGAAATCAGCTAAAACATCGGAATGTCGTACGATTTATTCAAAAGTTGGACACGAGTTGACGTGAACAAAAAAGCATTAAAGATAAGTGGAAATCCTTTATCATCATCGCGACGATCCGTCACGTCTAATTTCACACAACCTCCCTTGCGTTGTGTGGTCTAACGAAACCAAGGCGCTTCAGGCCTCTCCTGAGAGGTTGGAGCCGATGTGGCTGTCCCAACGCGCGGCGGCGCCATGGACAATGCCGCCTGCCCGTCCGGCGGCGCCGCCCTCTGGCCGACGCGGTGGGGGGCGCACCCGAGCGCCGGCGCCGCTCGCACGGCGGCCGGTCCTTGGTCCAGTTTGAGACTGCCGGGTGCGGTCGGCGGTGCCGGTCCCTTCCCACGGGGTCGACCTCCCACCCGCCGGGCAGGGCCGAGCCAGCCGTTACTCAACAAGGCCCACGGCTGGAATGTGAAGTCACCGCGGCTGCTCTGTGGTCCAGACTTTTCGGAGACGTGTCGGTCAGGTCAATGGTTCCTGTTTCAACACGGAGCGGCATTCAAGAACATTCAGATCGTCAGCTTTGTCGTTATTGCAACGCGAAGGGATAGTTGTATCGGCGAACAGACATTCAGCTGGGAGGGAGCATGCCAGTTCACGTGGCATAGCAATCATTACAGCTTGTTAAAACATCAGACTGAAGCCCAGTGAGTCAACCACTAATCGATCGAGCATTCATGTAGCAAAAACGGCTTCTGGTTGTTATTGTATCGTTTACTGCTAGCTCACGTGGTTATTTGATGTTGGGACCAAATATATTAGTCTGCTTTGGCGCATTGCAAATGGTGTGTGCAATGCAATAAGCCTGAGTTTCAAGGTTGACAGTTTGCAGCACGAGCAACTGACATTTAAGCAGCGAAATCCAGGCTGTACGTGGAAACATGCCGTAATCAGACGCTGACGCGGAGCATCGGATTAGCCTCCTGCGTAACAGCGGACAGGTGCGACGTGTGATCAGGTGACGTGTGATCGGGGGGCGTGTGATCAGGCGATGTGTGATCAGGTGATGTGTGATCAGGCGACGTGTGATCAGGTGACGTGTGATCAGGCGGCGTGTAATCAGGCGGTGTGTGATCAGGTGGCGTGTGATCAGGCGGCGTGTGATCAGGCAGCGTGTGATCAGGTGACGTGTGATCAGGCGGTGTGTAATCAGGCGGTGTGTGATCAGGTAACGTTTGGTCAGGCGGCGTGTAATCAGGCGGTGTGCGATCAGGTGACGTGTGATCAGGCGGCGTGTGGTCAGGCGGCGTGTGATCAGGTGACGTGTGATCAGGCGGCGTGTGATCAGGCGGTGTGTGATCAGGTGACGTGTGATCAGGCGGCCGGCTGAATGGAAGGGCCGACCAACAGAGACGCTGCTGTCAAAGCGTGCGCTTTCCAGCTTGTCAGTCGGAGTAGGCTTTGTACCGCCCACGACTGTTGATGTGCGCTTGCTCTTGAAGCCACTCCCCAGATCACGCACTTGTGTGCGTGTAAGAGATCGATAGCGCAGCAAAATAAATGTATTTACAGATCGAGTAATACAAGGTCTATCCAGTCGGTCACGATCACAAATTTACACGCCTTAGCATTGTACAACCACACCGATTAGCACACCGTGACAAGTTATTCGAAACGCACACAAACGCATACAAACTGCAAGTGTCCACAATTTTCAGCTGACAGACACCTCCACGACACTTATGAACGGCAGACCACGGATAGAAGTATAGTTCGATACGCATAGCTGTGACACTGCCCAGGCGATGAGGGGTGTCACGAAGAACCCAGAGCTGTGCAGAACGCCACAAACCGGCGGGAACGACGCGGTGCCATGTGCGATGCGGTGCAACACGACACAGTACAGGCTGCACGGAAGGTGCAGTCACGGTGCAGTACGGCCCGCTGGGGAGGTGCAGTCGGGTGTGCGCCAGTGGGCGGTGGGGATGGGGGAGAACCCAGCGCCCAAGACCGGTGGACAGGGTAGACTGACGTCCACCGCCTGCGGACGTCAGCTGTTGAGAAAAACGCAGAGCGACGTCCCCGTCCGGTGGCCGGAGACCGCTGGGAAACGCGTGGACTGAGTGGACGGTGACTTCTGGCAGCGCGGCAGCCTTAGCGTCCACGGCCGGTGGACGGCGGCGCCGAGAGAAGGGCGGTGTCCCGCTGACCGGGCGGTCAGTCGTCGCCACTGCCGGGCACTGTTCGGCCGGGCAGGGCAGATGCAGGTGACCGGTGACCGAGCCGCAGCCGGCGGCCGGCGCGGCTGAGCTGATATGTAAGTATTCGGGTCGGAGCGGCGGCGCCGGCACCTTTCGCCCTATCTACAGACGGCGGGGCGGCCGGGGGCGCCGGCGCGCGGCGAGGGCCAGCCGGGTGACGTCAGCGCCGCGTCACGGCGGGCGCGGCCGTCCGCTTGGCGCACGAGCGCGCCACGTGGCGTCCTCGCCGCACACGCCGCGGAACACAGCACACGCCGAACATGCTGCAGAGCACAGCGCACACCGAACACACACAGCAGAGCTGCAGCGCATGCCGACCACACAGAAGGAGCACGCGAAAAAGCACACCGAGCACACATAAAACGCTGTGTACAGCGAACATTCAGCACACCAGGTACACAGCGGAGGGCGCCGTCACAGCGCACAGCTGGCAGCGGCATTCGAGGCCGTTCTACAGCGCTCACGAGTCGCGCTGCTTCGGCGGCGCCGGACGACACCATACACTGCTCGCTTGTCGGTGCTACCTCCCACAGGCACGCGCCGCCCAGCTGCGTCCCGACCCCGGTACGCTGTCCTGTTGGACAGCGTGCGTTCCAGCTCACAAGGCGACGGTACACCACAGATGCACGGTGCCGCGTGCGACACAAGGACACGACACGTGACTATGCGTGTCAACGGTTCTGACGATCTTCAGGAGGCGGAAAATAAGCCGACTTAAGGGCGCGAACTTAGCGTGTGGTCTACACTTCGCTCAATCCATGTAGTCAAGTCTATGTACAAAGATAGCATTTGGCACTTACACTTACATTGACTGCTGTTAAGGTTGTAGTGCTGACGGGTCTCGAGTCAGGGATAACTGGGAGGCGCTTTATAACGACGGCAGACACTGAGAGCGAGCGCTCAAGGTCACCGTGATAGATGATAGGCCCATATTGCATCATCCAGTTTCGTGTCTGTTGTGCGTGGTGTTACGACAGAGATGTGCCATATTCGCTTGCATGCGACAGTCACGATGATCGTCATGCTTTGATGTGCAAGATATCACAACCGCCATGCTTAATGTTTGCCTGCACGTGACAATCACGTGTCGTTTAATCGGTACAACATGCTTATTCTAGCTGGTTACCTTTCGAAACATACGCTCCAACATTCAATTCAAAATTATTACGGGGACAAACGGAATTTCAGCACACAGCGCTGTCTTTGAAGCACGTGCCATCCATTACAAGCCGCGTGTATCCGCTCCATTGGCCATCTCGACTTGCGTTGACCATCGATTTAGGCGGGCACTGGCGCACATTGCCACCGAGACCCCAGAAGCGGATGATTGCTGCCTTGGCCGATGCCATCACTCGGCTCAAAAGCCGGTGAAGAGGCCTAGTCCGTCACGTCTAAACCAGTACACAGTGCAGCTCGCCCCGTGCCGGCCTGAATCCCGGGCCGCCCCTCTCGCGGAGGGTAGCCACGTCGGCAGTCACCGAAGCACAGGCTCGTGTCACGACCGTCCACCTCGGCACCTCGACTCGACTCGAACTCGACTCCACCTCGACTCGAGCGGCGCGCGACGCGCGCCAGCGCCGACCGACGCCCGGCCGCCCGCCGCTGGAGCCGCCGCCGCGCCCGGCCGCCAGCGCCCGCCTACATGTTGGAGACGATCTCGTGTCGCCGCTTGAAGGAGAGGTTGTCGTTGCGCGGGTCGTGCCGCTTCTTGGACTTGAGGTACTCGCGCATCTCGGCGGCCGTCATGTTGAGCTTGAGGCCGAACTTGTCGCCTTCGGCGGCGGCCGGGCCGGATCCGGCAGACTTGGCCGACTCCACGGTGCCGGTCGAGCCGGCCGACGGCGCCGGGGAGGGCTGCGTCCGCTCCGGGCCCATCTCCACCTGTGGACAGGGCGCGCGCCGTCAGGTGGCGGCGGCCACGTGGCACGTGCCGTGGACAGGGTCGAGTCGACAAGTATGTGCGGTGGACACATTCAGGTTGGCAGGTGCACGCAAGGGACAAGGTCTGGCGCACGCAGCCGACACATTCACGCCGGTAGACACACGCCACGTCCACGGACAGGTCGGCAGGCTGCCCGCTGGACAACCTGGCAAGCTAGTAGCGTAACGGGATGTGCTGCGTCGCACGCACGTCCATAGCAAGTAACTTCGCCATCCTCGTGCGTCCGTGAACACCAGCCTGGTGTCCTGGCCCGAGCCCGTAACACGGCCGACGCTCAAAGGCCGAGCGCCGCGCCCGGTCCGGTCAGGTGCCCGGCGGGCGCACACAGCAGGCATGGTCAGGCAGGGCCCGTCTGCACGTGTGAACGAGGCGGACCTGGCTGCACGTGATGTAAGGACAACGCCGTCCGTGCCGCGGCTGCTGGACCGCTCACCGGTGCGGACGCGCGGGGCAGTGTCCCGGTCGGTCAGCGCGTACCCCACGACACGTGTCAAACTGGACCCGACTGGACCGCAGACAAGGGCGGCTGGGTCCGCCTCGGGCCCCGGTCGAACCGCTGACCACGGAAAACTGGGGCGATGTCAGCGGAGCCGGTGCTCGGGGTCGGCGGGGTGACGGTCGGACGTGCTCAGGTGTTCAGGGTCGACGGGGCGACGGCCGGACGTGCTCAGGTGCTCAGGGTCGGCGGTACGACGCGCCGCGCACCCTGGCCCAGCAGACGCACGCGGCTTTCGCCGCAGCCTGACGCGGAAGACGAACCACAGCGCTACCGGTCTCGGCTACTGACACCGTGACCCGAGAGGACGCGCTAATCGTTCTCGGTAAGCGCGGGGAGTCCGCCGGCACCCGCCCTCGCGCGACGCGATAAAGCTTTGGACGCCACGGTGCACACCATGGACGCCGGTGTACGGTGCGGTTACGCGGAGCATGATGCTTTTCTCTACTCGAAATACCGGAACGGTGCAGTGATGATCCATTATCTGTGACACGTAGTGTGCGCCTCACAGCACCAGCCCAGGGATGATATGCCGGTTACAACCGTGACTAATATCACCAATGTCGCCACAGCTGGTAGCGCTGGCCCATTACCTGTAGGGATGTGTCGATGCTGGCGGGCTCGTCTTTCACTCCGTCTGTCTCTTTTTCCTCGGCCTCCTCGGTTGGCGTAGACTTGCCATTCTGTGGAATCAAACAACGTTACTGGGCGAAGCCCGAGGGCATGATGGTGCGACTGAGACAACATGTGGAGACGAATCCGTGTGAGCCTTGGGACGCGTCGCTGTGGAAGATGGTCAGTGTATGATGGACGCGTTGTGAGCGTGAGCCTGGAGCTGGCACAAGTAACAAGCTTGACACAAACTGAACAAGCCTGGCCTAGTGAACTTCTACCACTGGACGCATCCCTCCAGACATCTCATATCCCGCGCGTCCGCCGCGCCGCGATAGCTGACAGGGCGGCGGCAAATTACGATGCCACACGCGTCACACGGCCGCGCGCCGGGGGCTGGCCGCAGCGCCGAGATCAGAGAGAGTGTGGCCAGATGACCTGCCAGTCACGCGTCACGGCCAGAGTCCGCGCGCGAGCGCGCTCCGCTGCCGGCGTCAGCAGACGGCCGGCTCCAGCCCCGGCCCGCCGGCCCGAGACCTCGGCCAGGCCGATCTCGAGCGCGCGTCAGCACCAGCGGGGACGCCGCGACATGCCAGGCCGCTCAGCCGGCAGAGGTCGCCCGTGTGTCACAACGCTGGGGAGCAGGCGTGACGGGGGAGACGAAACTCTAACTCTCAGCGAGGGCGAGTTGGACATCACAGACTTGGCGGCTCGTTGTGGCCGCGAGCGCGACGCGATTATGTTGCAAATATGTACAAGGATAGCATTTGGTAACGCTGTTACAGATATGTACAACAAGGAGAACATTTGGTAACACTGTGGAAAAAGGTTATCCGCACCAGTCGTTAGTAATTCACGTGACGCCACCAGAGCCTTAATAAAATCCTCCAAGCGGCTACATTCATACGCCCACACCTTCACCACAAAGCTGAATCACTCACTACGATTAGCTTCCACCGAGCATGCCTCCTTCGCAGCGATGAGTCATTTGACCCTCCCACGGCGCGTTTCTGAGTCGGCACCGCCCGACCTTGGCCTCCTCCCGCCGCCCTGACCCGAGCTCTCCGCACTCCCGTTCACCAGTACATCACAGCTAGCGTTCTCCCTTCCGCCACGGTAGCCGGGGAGGACGGCTGTGCCCTTACAGCAAGTAGCCCCGAAACCAGCTGTCTCCAGCTCGATCCCTTTCTGCTATCAGAACCCCAGATCAGAGATTTGACATCGCACTGCAATCTCTCCCCAAGATCAGAGACTTGACATCGTACAGTTCGAACCCACGGCCATGTCAGCACAGTGTAGAAGAGATACCCCGGCTTGTTTCGTGAGGCCACGTTCGCGGGTTTTTGTCTGCTGTTGAACCCGGTGCAAACCGTGCCCGGCAATGATGGCGTCGCGATGACGTCATGGCTCCCCCGAGCGCCGGGGCGACGTCCGGTTCCTGGGGCCCCACGCCATCGTGACGGGGCGCGGCGTGACCGGGCGGAGCTAAACTGCACTCGTTAGTCACATGAGATGGTGAGTACCGTCGAAGCCCGACCTGACCACCGGGTAGCGTTAGACGATGCGCAGCGAGACGCCCCGTCGACTTCCACCAGGAGAAGCAGCGACGAGTGAAGAGGCGCTATCCACAAGGCCGGGCGGCGACGCCGCACAAACCTCCGCTGCCGACAGCTTCTGTTCAACCTCGGCGGACTTCGAGAGTTCGGCGGGCTCGGATGAGTCAGGCTCAGTCGGCGCCGGCTCGGACGCGGTCGGCTCGGTCGGCGCCGTTTCCGAGGAGGTCGGCTCGGTCGGCGCCGGCTCGGACGAGGTCGGCTTGGTCGGCGCCGGCTCGGACGGCGCCGGCTCGGACGCGGTCAGCTCGCTCGTCTCCGTCGAGCTGGCGTCGTCCGCCGGCAGCGCGGGGGCGGCGCCTGGCTCGTCCATCTCCAGCGAGAGGTCAGTCTTGGGCGGCAGCGGTGGCGGCGGCGTCTCGTTGCCGCAGCCCTGCGCCGCCAGGGTCAGACTGTCCTCGATAGAGAGTGGGGTCTGCAAGGCGCCGCCGGCCGGGTCAGCTGGACCGGCGGCACATCAGTCCGGAGCACAGCACGCGACGGCACGGTACGGCACGGCACGGCACGGCACGGTAGTGTCAGCTGCGTTGGCCGCGCAGCGTGACAGGCACGGGCAGGCCTGTCATGGGGTCCGACACGCCGTGAATGACAGCGCGCAGACTGATATGCGCTCAACTTTCGCCTCACCAATGTCCTACGACGTGGCGAGCGCTCGGCTCGGTCGTTACGACCATCCTCACTAAAAACAAGCAGCGCGGAACGCAGATAGGGATTATAAAGACTTCACCAACCATCACTCGCCAGTTGCTTTTTCTACATGCATTTTGTTGCCATCAAAGCTAAAGGCAATTATGTTAACAGCTCAGAACCCATGTCCGTGTGAAACAAAACATGGCACACTGTCCCACACGGCATGAGCTGAGTGGGAACGGCACGAGCTCGCCGTCACGGCTCACCAGGCAATGACAACGGACAGAAATTCTGCAGCAGGCTGTGGTTATCAGGACGTGTTCTGCGTCGATTGGGTTGTTTTTGTATAGTCCCGGCGCGAGTTACAGTTGGTTTGACCGAGCTCACGTCCTCCACTGACTGTGAGGGTGATCTGGCGCATGTTCCGATTCAACTTTTAAGCGCGCGCGCGCAGAAACACACACGCATACATGTATATTTCTGAATAACAAACATACACGTATCCGTACGCCAATGTGTTTTAATGGATCGCAGGAAGCGCATGTGCACGCCATTGAATCATGTATGCATGACAGAGGCCAGATGGGGCCCGGCGTTCGTTCGACATGACTGAGCACCAGCGGTCAGCCGGCTGAGCATGCCGCGTGGCGGGGTAATTGGCAGCGTGCCAGCTGCATCTGCAGTCCGCCGGCCAGCGCTATGTGTTGTTACCTCTGCAGGGGTCACAGACCAGCGCCACCTCTGCAGGGGTCAGAGACCAGTGTCACCCCTGCGGCGCTCAGAAAGCACGCCACCTTCGCTGAGAGCGGAGAACAGTGTCACCCGGCGGGGCCGGAAACAAACGTCTCCTCGGCACGGGTCAGGGACTAGCGTAACCCTTGCATGGGCCGGAAACGAAGGTCACCTCTGCCAGGGTCAGAAACCGGCACCACGCCTGCAGGGGCCGGGAGCAGGCGTCGTGTCCGCGAGAGTCAGGGCCAACGCCTCCTCTCCAGCGGACAGGAGCCGGCAACCCGTCGGAGTGAGGCAGGGCTGTGGAATCACTCCGACAGGCGTCAGCAGCAAACGTCGTCTCTGCAGGAATTCAACGCGGTGCCTGCAGTTTTCGGGGACCGACTTCATATCTGGGACCAGAGCCAACCCTGCGATTGATAGGGCTAACGGCACATCCGCTCGTGATTGCAGCGCACCCCGTTCAATATCTCTACACAGCACGCCCATTTACGTGCTGCAGATGGCTGCAAGATAATTATCCGTGAAAAAAGCTCTCGTTTTAGTAAACAGCATCAGCGAACTTTCGAAGCTGCTCCTCGGCCTTCAGTCTGTTGTTGCGCAGGCTTTAGCATCTTGTTACATAGACGACACATGGTATTGTGTATATCATGTAAATGTCGCGTATTTCAGACACGGAGTACTCTTCCTGCTTCTAAATTTGACAATGGCAGTGGCGTATTTGTAAGGTGATCGGAAACTGATCAGGAAAGTCCGAAGTCCCGACTAGTGCCGTTCGGAACGGCCATCCACCAAATACGATTATAGTGAAATAACGGGGTACAACAGAACTTTCCATTCAGCCCAGCGAGTGTCCGAACTCAAATACGTCCGGGACAGGTATCAGCGATGAAAAAAAATTACCAGTAAAATGCAAAGGCAAAAGCCAACCCGAGGCGTGCGAGCGGCTGCAAGCCCAAAGACTTCCGTGCCGTGCTGTAGTTCCACACCTGCTGTAGTGCCGGCCAAGGGGCCCACCTGACGTGGGCCCTTCACTCGGTGCGGCGCACCTGGGGTCCCTCCACCCGGCGCAGCAGCAGCTGCGGCCGACTGCGCCAGGGACGCGGCAAAAACGGCGCGGCAAAAACCGGCCCGGCGCCCGCCGCGCCCGGCCGGCGGCGGCGGCGGCGGCGGCTGCTCATCCGCGTCGCGCGGGGTTTTCTGGCGCGGCCGGGGCAGGCCGCGAGCACGGGACTCAGCCACGAGCGACCCGGGCCGCGGTCAGGGCCGAGCCGAGCCGCCCCGGCCTCGGCGTCCGGCCCGGGGATGACCCGACGCTGTCGGGCCGCCAGCCGAAGCACCGCCGCCGCCGCCGCGGTGCGGCTCTGCCAGCTGCCGCGGCCTCGGCTTCGTGTGCAGGGCGGCTGTGTGTTGTTCCGCCGCTGGTGGGGGCCAGCCCTTCAGGCCGGCTCCGGTGTCGGGTCAGTGAGCGTGAGTCGCGACCGGAGCCGCGGGAATGCGGTCCTGCGGCGGTTTACGTCATGCAGGCATTCACCAGCAGCTGAGCACGACTCAACATCCGCCAGCGCTGTTAGGCGCACTGACTTGAGCCAGATATGAATCGAGTTCTTACCACATGCGTCGAACAAAGGCAATTTATAAGGATAACAAATCGAAAAGCTGTCAGGCGAAAACATTTAATAGGAGAAATTAAAGAGAAAGAGGAGGAAGAGAAAAAGGGGAATGTTAACATGTATAAAAACGAACACTGTTTGCGGCGCATTAGTTTCTGTCTGTATTTCTAGGCTCTCCATAACGCGGACCTGACATATAATAACACTGGTGCGCATGCTAGGACCGCCTTGTAATGTTGGGGTAAGCCATGATGCAAATGAGAGCAGAGAAATGCGGATGTGCATTCTAGCAATTCGACGACGGACATGTTAAAATTGAACAAGCATGTTTTGTACGCAAAATTAAAATGTCATGAGTGCAACCTATGCTCAACGCGGTGATCGCCCAGGAAAATATTTCAATGCCGAGAATGTTACAAACCCATGTAGAATTCGTCGTTAAATCGTCGTGCTACAGTGTGCTACTTTTACAAATTACAAAGCTACAGTTAGGGGAGGGTAGACAAAGTCGCATCAGGTTTTACTCTGAGCTCTATCCTGCTGTAACTAGTGAGGATAGGACTAATATTTACATACGAAGACAGCTTAAACCTTCGGCTTCAAATGCTGCGGTGAAATTTTAGAGAGCACGTCTTTGTTTTGGGGGTAAATGACTTCTGAATGACCTCCTTTCAAAGGAGACAACTTACCTCACTCCGGGGTAACTTGTATCATATGGTGGGGAAGTTGTGCTTACGTGATTTTGCCGTAGAGTAAGCTACATCGCACGCAAGCTGGATGCGTTGCGACGTGTGGACCAAATACGCTCGTCCGTGCTATTTCGTGATCCGTTGTGGTGGCGACTTGACATGTTTTTGTTATTTGTTATCAATGTTTGTTTTACGACCACTGCTACTGGGTTTCGGCTACTCAGGTAGCAATCATGAGTCTACATAGGTAATATAACTGTCGACTTATTTTCTGGATGAAAATAAATCATGATAATCATATCAGTCCGTCATTGAAAGCAAGTCAGCCAATGACATCTTTTCGGTACATTGCATCACTGATACAACACTTATGCACAGCTGATACATCATGTACCGCCTGAATCTTGGAATAAAGTTTGTGCCATCCCGAAGTCTTTGAAAAACAGATGCAAAATGTTTTGCAGTATATACGACAAATGCTCAATATAGCCTTTGTAGCTCAGTACCCAATCACTCAGTATCCAATTATGTCGTAAGGCCTTAAACACACAGTTACGCCGATCGCTGTAGTTTTCGGGAATATACAAAAACCATGTTTGTCGCGCTCATCCCAAGACGCGCGTGTGCATTTGACCAAAAGCACACTGAAAGGTAGAAGAGGCTTCTGTACGCCAACCGCGTGACTCAAGACTGCCATACATCGCGTAAATTTGGAATAAATCGTCCTGATACTACTTGTCCATGATACAACTCACCTCACTCTTCCCTGTATTCCTTCAGATGAGAGCGCTAGAAGGCTGAGTAGCAGACCAAAAGACCGCTCTCGCCGAATCTAAGCGGCTTTCGGTTTCCCATGATGCTGGCTAGCTGACTCATTCCGCTCAAAACGCACGCTGTTGCGGTTTCGGCGAAGTTCGTGATGGCTCCTTTGCATGATTCCATCAAACAGCAGCCGTAACAGCCTTAGCGCACAAGTGGAAATGGCTTACATAGGTGATGGTGTATCTCCAGCATTGCAAGTAGCTTTGATCGAACCGTATGCATCGGATGGTACCTACGCGGCAAGTGACAAATTTATGTGTGCGGCCGACCGGTTGCCGTACGACAAAGCACCACGACTCGATTCTCCTGCACAGGTTTGTGTTGTTTAACACGTTATCTCCGGACTGGGTCACTGAAAACAGGCTTGGGACACGTTTGCGACAACCCGGCCTTGGTCGCAATCAAGTGCCGATGTTGGTTTAACTTCTCCAAGTGGTTCTGAACGGTCTCTGAAAAGCAGTCTTCCTTGAAATCTGCTTGCGATGGTCCGCACGATGCTACGGATTAACAACAGGAAGGTCATCCGGTCGGTGCATCCCGACACCGATGAGTGCTCTGTTTTCTTCCCCATAAGTCCTGTCATCCTGTGTCTGCTTTGATGTTCTACAGAAGCAGTCAACCGCGTAGCGGATGCGAGACCAGACGATATCTGCCGGATGGGGCACCTTTAGAGAGGAACGCGGACACGTAAACATCTGATGCTGTTGTCGGACAGCTGCCGTCTGCCCAGATCTGCGGTGGGATCGGGCACAATTTGCCGAGCTCTGTTAACAAGGCGGACAGGTGGTTTCGCGCTCTCCGCTACATTGGGGCCAGGCACCTGTTCCGCCCCTGGGACCAGACAGCTGTCCCGCTCCAGTCACTAATGTGAACCTTGGACACCCTTTTTTGGGGGAGGGGAGAGGGGAAAGACAGCGACTCCACTCCCA